ACCACAACTCTCTGGGCCCGGCTGGCCAGCCAGTTTTTACCCAGCGCCGGGTACACCTGTCTAAGCCGTGAGCCGCCAGCTTCTCTAGGAGAATGCTGTGGGAGACGGTGTCAAAGGCCTTACTGAAGTCCAGGTAGACCACATCCACAGCCTTTCCCTCATCCACTAGGCGGGTCACCTGGTCATAGAAGGAGGTCAGGTTGGTCAAGCAGGAATCATCATCTCAGCATGATCAATGTATTTTTTAAAGAAACTTTGCTAGCCAAGATGAGCTTATGGGTTTAGCTGACATGATTCTGCAAGGCAGAAAGGAAGATAACCTGGCTAAGATTGATACTGGTGAGGACCATCAGACCAGGGCCTCGAGCTAGCTAAGCTATGTCAAAACAGAGACAGCAAACTGAATGAAGCCGTACGTCTCATATTTTCGTTGACTCATCCCAAGCAGAGGGCTGTTACGTTGCGAGCTGCTTCTTAGATCTCCTGATTTTTGTGAAGTGCCTGCCTCGTCTCCCTTGCAAGGCCCAGGCTCACCCTGCCCGCCTGCCTCTCGCTGCCATACTGTGCTCTACCGACTGCATGGCGAGCGCACACAACACATTGAACGTAGATGCAGTGAATCCCTCCCTTGCCCCACTCCCACCTCTCTCTCAGAGACCCAATACTCAGCAGACACGTGAAAACACAGACCTGAAATACGCTGCTCGTCCCACCCATACCACCATCCCGCCCTCTGTTCCCTTCTCCCTGTCCCCCGCTCTCCTCCCTGAGCCTTGAAAAGCTCAACAATTTAAATCCTGCCTCCTGTGGGTCCCTTCCCGCCTGGCAAACCCCTGTGTAACCACCACCACACTGCGCATCGGACCCTCCTCCGCCAGCAGCTCCAGAGGGGCCAGAGCAACTGCCCCATGCCAAAGCTGGGCTCTGTGCTCTGCCAGGCACATACAGCCTGCACATGCAGACTCTTCTCACGTCCTCTGCTGGGACTCCTTAGACCTGTAGGTCATCCAATTTCTCTCTCCAGATTTCTATTTTTCAAAGCCATGTTTTTAACTCATTCAGGGTGTAAACACACACAAGAAACAAGCAGATGGGTCAATAACAAAATTTACGAATCCCAGCATAGCATGAAGTAGAACAGGCTGCCTCTTCTCATGCATTTCCACTCTTTACATCAAAGCTCAGTGTCTCTACATGCGTTACAGCAGGGAGAGCAGTCCCTGACTGGGCAAAATAAAAATCCTGGGGTGCGAGAAGCACAGCTAGACCTTAAGCTCGTATTGCTGCCAACTAATTTGTAATGTCTAATCATAGCAATTTAGAGACAATTCAGTTTCTGCAACCCAGACCACCTGGACTAGCACAGAGAGAAGGAAGTTACGTATTTTAAATCCATCTCTCCAGCCATCACCCCCTGCCCTCATACCTGGATGACAACAGATATAGAGGTGAATGCTGTCACTGCGATGCTAGAAACTGAAATTCATGTGGCAGCACATGACAGATCTTGGAGGGGGACAGATTCTGTGATGCTGATAGCACTGGGGCTGTCTTAATCAGAGGAACAGGGAGTCCAAACTGCAGGGACAGCATTAAACTAATAAATATTACACAAAAACAGGTGAAATAGCCTGCAGCAAACTTCACCATTACGAGCAAACAGAGCATTAAAATCCTACCTTCCAACCAAAAAGGAAACCTTCACTGGAAACCCCTGGCCCCAGACACAGACTCCAGCAGCGTGTAGTGGCATGAGCAACTGGGAGAGTCTCAGTTCTGGGATAATTCACGTTTACTTCAGGAATTTTGAGCATAGGCCTGAAGAAAGGCTAAATAAAACTAAAGGCTCTGGGTGTTTATGTATCCAAATTACTGGAACTTTTTTAGATTGTCTTGGTTTACAAATTATTTTTTCTTATTACAGAAAACATGGATGTCACAGATAGAAACGGCAATCTCCAATTACACCACGCAACGTGAAACCAAGAAAAGCACTGCTTTCTGCTTCCCAGCTGAATCCTCTGAAATATAATAATGTCAGCACAGCACCGACAGAGCCAGTGGAAGACTGTTGTGGTGATAACACAGGTTTTTTTTCCAGCACGCCTTGAGTTTCTGAAGCTAACAGATTTCTGACTTGACTAGACAGAAGTGAGGAGTTTTGACCACAGGGTGTAGGAATAAACTGGAGGGGGAAAATGAGCCATGCATTAAATGTATTGCTCTTAGATGCTCCTTTGCTTCAGCTAGGGGAAGGCTCTTGCCATCCAGGGAAGCTTTAATACAGCTTGTCATTTCCTAGAAAGCAGGACACGGGAAAAAAAAAAAAAAAACAAACCTATGTTGGTGAAGAGAACTCATTCACCAGAAAAGCCTAAAGAGTTACTCCAAGATCATTCAAACTGTATTAATAAATTTCATGAAATTAAAATTGTGTAGCCATAGCTCCCGATAGTTATGCCTCTCTACCTACTAAACTATAACATCACAAGATGTTTTTTGCATTAAGATTGAGCTTGTGGAGGCAGATCAATAAAAGTATATATCGTGTTGACTCCCCATTAATTTTTAAAATGAGATTAAGTTTATTTGAAAAAGGTCATCATTACATATAACATGCAGTTAAATTAGAGATGCTACAGCGTATATAAAAAGAAAGAACAAAAGTGCAACGATGCCCTGCTTTATTGGGATTTTTTTTTTTACCTGAGCTTTTTCACCACTTTATTAACAGCAGATCTGTCATTATGCATTGTTTACACCCATTACAGCCTTTAAAGTTCAAGTTTGCTTCACAAACTTGAGCGTTCCTTTTGCATTAAACCATTCAATACTTCACTGCTATCCCAGATCTGTGGTCCACATCGCAGAAGTGTGCCCCTGTTAATCACTTTATTTTTCCCTCTTTTTGACGTACTAGAAGAGACACACAGAACAGCCTGAAACTGCTTGTCACAACATTTGTGCAGGTTACTACCATGGAGGGAGAGTGCTTCTCACCAGTTTAGCCTTGGCTAATCCCCTGAGATTAGCCATAGTCAAGAGAGAAAAGGAGACTTCCCTAAACCCACTCTAAGTGACACTGTCACTTCTCCCACTTTCTGTCCCCAATCAGCTAGTCTCCCTCAGCAGAAAGGTTAGCCCTTAGAATATCCCCTCAGTGTCAGAAATTACTTCAGGGGGAACTGAACAGAGAAGCCACCCAGATGAGGACTATGCTGAAGAATGTAGGAGTGCCATTCCAGTCGTTCACGTTATTCACAGGGAAGTCAGCATTCACTTTGCATTCACCTCTACTCCACAATTGAATTAGTTATGAGTTCAAGTGTTGACCCTAACCCTGCTCCTCCCCAGCTCCACCCATGAGGATGTGGTGGTACGTTCTATCCACTTGAGCTGGTTCACCTGTATACACAAGCTGTGGTCTGGAGGCTGTATATATGTATGCGCTTACCTGGTTCAGCACCCTCCAGATGCAGCCTAGGCCGCCGTGGTACACATTCCTGCTCTTCCCCCTGTGCCTGTGATGGGCAAGTTTTTGTCACAGCTTCCTGGGAAAGGAACAGCTACTCAGGCTCCATGCCAAGTGGTGAATGTGTAAGGCAGGAGAGCAGCACAGAGTGGAGACAGCAGATCTGCTCCAGGACCATGCAAGCTGCAACCACTTAGCCACAACTTGGCTTACACAGCTGTGCTCCATCTCCCCAGTCCCAAGCTCAGCTGCTCCCCTGGTGCCCCACCAGAACCTCGCAGTATCTTGAAACCAATACTGATAGGACAGAAAGATATTTCAAGGCCAGAGAAGGCACACATGATAGACTAAGCTCTGCGCTTTGTGCACTGGCAGAAGCGAGGGGGTGTTTTGCATCTTTCTGTATTTTTGCCAAAACAACCTTAAGCCAGGTCTGCTCAGTTTACCAGACAACTAAGTAGTCCCAGAGATTCAGCATTTCCTGGAGGCCAGCGTGTCTCCAAGGAGGACACGCCAGGGGAAGGAAGTACTCACACACAGGCTGTCTTTAGGGAGACGTAAGCTCAACAGGCTCTTCTGTGGTCTGGAGAGAAAGATGTCCCAGAAAGCAGTCCAGGCAGAAATTAACTTCCCAACTCGAATTGCCTTTCAGAGGAGACCTCTTTTCTCTGTCTTTCTCCGCTGTCTACATAGAGCCCCTAGGAAGATCTGCTTCAACAGCAAAACACTTTTTTTTTGTGAATGCCCCCACAATTCAACAGTGGCTTTGTCATGGGACTGATCACACACACATTAATCACCTGGCTTCTCTCTGCAGTGCAGCTCCACCCTGAAAGGTTTCCATCTGACAAGCAAGCCCTTCATTAGTCTAAAGAACTAAAGTGCTACTTCCGAGTCTTCCAGTTATGCCAGTTGTCCAACTGCATTGAATGCGATGTCTGAACACAGCCAGTGACAGAATTGAACACAGGATACCCAGCAGCCTTGTGCAGATACTGGGAATGGAAAAAACTACTCTGAATTTAACCGGTGGAAAAAACAGATTTGGAAAACAGTCATTATCACTGCCTCCTCAGGAACATGAAAGCTTTTGTTGCAGCTCCCCACAAGTCTACAAAACTGGAGCATTTAGTTTGTTCTTAGATGTGTGGCTTCCCAACAGTTCATTTGTAAAATTATATATCCCCCATTTCAAAGTAGCTTTGCTGTCTGAAATGGGGCAAGGTAGTTTTGAATGACAGAACTGGTCTATTAGAAAGGTCTAATTCATTTTTTTTTATTGTCATTAATCATTCCTTTAACAGGTTAGAAAACAAAAATGACATTTCAATAACATTTCATCTTAGTTTATACAGAACCGGTTAATGCATGGTGTCATCTTCTCATCCAAATCCACAACCGCCTTCCAAATCGCAGAGTTTAGGAATTACAGTGCACACTGGACTAAATTCTTTCACAATGTAAGGCACAACTACATGATCACAAGTAGTAAACACAAACACTGAAAATAGAACTTAAGAGAATCGAACTTCAATTAAAAAGAAACAAAACCAAAACACACTCATGCAAAAAAAAAAAAAAAAAAAAATCTATCTACACCTACCAAGATGGTATAATCCAGTTTAAAAGAAGTGCAGTACTCTAGGTAAAACTGCAACATAAGGCTATTATAATACATTACCTCTAAATACTGGGTAAGAACTTAAAACTTTTTCCATTTATATTTTATACAGTTATACAGAAATTAAGCTGTATGAGCAATATCCACATCTGCAATAATAAACTGATCATTAAAATTCAGAAAAGAGGCTAACAAGACAATGTAATTTGTGGCACGCATCCATTACAGAATACCATTCATCAAGTTCACATCTCAAGTACTGAAGAAAAAAAAAGAAGACTAAATTAATGGTACATTTGGTGAATGAGGCTATCTATAGCCAAATGACAAAGCTGCATACAAAATTGTTTTTACCCAGCAGACCGTGATTATGAAAGCTTGTGGGTTATGATTTATTTCCTGTCCAGCAGCTAGTTTGCAAGACTGAAACTACAGAAGTTAAAAGAATACAACATAGTTTACAATAACTTGAAACTATTAAATACTTTCAAAAACAAAAAAAAAAAAAAAAAAAAAAGACTTTTTTCCTTTTTGGTGATAAACTTTTGCAATTTTGGCATTCACTATAACTTTTACATAACATGACAGTGAGCAAACCTTATTAAACTTACCTAATGTTTGAATTTCACGCTGAGAGGTAGTTTAAATGAAATCTTATGTAACGGCATCAAATGGTGGGGTTTTATGATTTTTTTTTTGTGATTTTTTTTTTCTTTTCTTACAAAAGTGACAAATCCTATACAAGCAGCATTTTGGACACATTACTATAAAAAGTTCTGGTATTCACTAACCCAGCGAGACATTCTTTCAAACATCCCTTATGTGCCAGAAATCAAGCTTTAGCGTGATACAACGGAGTACTTTGCCATAAAGCCAACAGCAGGAGCCTGGACCTGCCAGCACTGGCCTGTCGACATATAACAATGAACACCTTCCCAGCCCTCTTTACCCAAAAAAGGCAGGAAATACAGATGAATTTGGTTTTAGTTTAGGTCATAGGGGGAGGAAAAATTGGAAAACATGCCTATCAGGCTTCTGCTTTCATAGTAACGTTGATCCAAAAGGGTTAGCAGGGCTTCAGTAATCTTCAAATGAGCAGATACTCCTGTATCTGCTGCACAGCGAGTGCACAGTATGTGGTGAGCTACAGACAAAAGGCAGAGTTTATTACATTAACTAGTACCTATCCTCTTCATTATTGTGATCTTAAGTGGCATCTAATGTTCTCTCTGAAGATGCAAACCTCTCTATTCAGTGCTCCTTAAAAAAAACCAAACCCAAAATACCCCCAAAACTGAGTTTCTGTGGAGGGACTTTACTATCCAATTATTGCTGCTTTTGAAAAGTACACCACTTAGTGCTTTTGGAGAGGCTGTGGTTGGACGATAATTTTAAACTTATCCTAGAAGGGGTGCTGAGGTCAAGACTTCAAAAATTAAGAACTGGACAACTGGCAAGACCCTTGAAAATACATAAAATTCATGTTTTCTCATTTTATCATCTTAAAATGAAGCTCTACAAAGACAACATGTGCGTGACTACATGGGTTTTGTTACATGTGCTCTCAGACGATGATTGCTTTTTTGGTACAAAGGAATTATGAGTGCAATTCTCCTTACATAGCAAGGGGCCAAATGTAATACAGTGAAAAGTCCAGCTGAAGACAAACCTTCTGTCCACTGATTACAGCTAACACATGCAATGCAAATTATGCCATTCCACTTACTGTAGATTATATTCAGTTAGACAGCAAAAAGTGCGTAGTGCAAATGACAGTGTTGTTTCCTAGTCCTCCAAGAATATGAGAGTGCGAGGGGCGGTACTTGGAGGAGTAATTTGTCAGTTTCAACATACTCAAACCATTATATCATTCTTCTTGGCATAGTACATATTCTGTTTGAACTTACACTCCAGCAGTTTTCTGTCTGCCACTGAGTACTGGTCATAAATTTTTTAAGTTTTGCAACAAGCATTTGTTCCCACTTTGCATTTAAGTGACATTTAACATTTAAAAGTACTTGAGTTTTCCAGGTCCCTTCTTTAGGAATGTCATTTCTCTTACACTTAGCATGAGAGATTCAATTGTTCTTGCTAATGTAATACAAACACAGCA